AATAAATACTTTGTCTGAAGACTTATGCAACAAGGATTATATGTCTTTCACGATAATAGCAATCACAAATCTAGTGATATATGTTCATAAAATGATTTTAATCCTGCTAATTTTATTTATTTATTACTGTACGACTACCCGAAGAAAACATTATTCTGAGAAAATATTGATTTTTTTNGCTTTTCATATATCTTTGTTAAATTACATTTTCAACTCATTCAAATGTCTCATCAACTTATATAATCAATTGGATATGTGTATCAATCGATGGGACTATTGGCCAAATGTTTTGTTTATTTTCGGTAAGTTAAATAAATAAAATTAGAGAAATAGTAAATAAGTATTTTTTTCACTTCGTTTTTTTTTATAGAGATAAGTAATCTTTTCATCAAATTTGATTTGTTTTTCTGCTAGAAGATGTCTAATACATAAAATTTAGAAAACAATTATTCGATATACATCTATTCGTCAATAGATTAACGAGGATATTCTTCCTTGAAAAAAATGAATCACAGTTGAGAAATAAACAAAATATTAGAATTTTTAAAACGTAGTTCATTGTTTTAACTGAACATTTGAATGTTGATATATTTCCTTGAAGAGTAAACATTCTTTATCAGATCAAAAAAATGCTTATCTATGGCTTTAATTCTATGTACTATAAAATGAACAAAAATATTCGAGTCTTACGAAAAAAAAAACATTTACAGATTAGACAAAAGTTTAGATTCTGTCATTTCGAATAGAACTTTGTTGAAAATATTAGTCATTTTTCTCGAGTTTATTTACATTGTATGATGTATCTCTGAAAGCAATAATCGATCGTTAAAATAGAAGAAAAAGTTATATTTGTATCATCCATTATTTTAATTAGAATGATTTCAGTTGAGCACATTCATATGTGGACACTCCATTATCATCATTTAATAATCCGATGTGAGTTTAATTTTCATCACCATCAAATGGATTTCTTTATGCCAACAGAGACGGAACCATTATTCATATCATTCTTATTGAATGCCACGATACGACTAAAATGAAGTAAGTTTACTTAATACTTAATCGATCAATAAACCATAAAATTTCTTGCTTCGTTTTCTCTTAATTAGCTTTATCAGTATTTACGAAAATCTTTCACATCTTGTTAACTTGTCTTATACTGATACTGTACAATTTTCACGAGACAATGATATAACAAGATTACGTGTTATTGAATATGTTTATATACAAAAGTTTTTTTATTGTTAAGAGATTAAAATATCCATATAATTCTATACTTTTGATTCTCACTAATGACGTTGAAACGACTGAAAAATGAATAAATACTTTGTCTGAAGACTTATGCAACAAGGATTATATGTCTTTCACGATAATAGCAATCACAAATCTAGTGATATCTGTTCATAAAATGATTTTAATCCTGCTAATTTTATTTATTTATTACTGTACGACTACCCGAAGAAAACATTATTCTGAGAAAATATTGATTTTTTTTAAAATAAAACTTAACTGAAAGTTTTCAAGGTCAAAGAATCTGCATTATGAGGCTATCAGGTTTCGAAGATTTTGAAGGCTGTTGGTCCCAATCGATTCCTGTCAATCACTATTTCATTATTTAGAAAAGTCTTATGCTGTTAATCGATCTATCACAATTAGAAAAAGTCTCAAAGTTTGAATGCATATGATGATATAAAATTTTTTGTTTACTTAATTTTGAATTTTGAATCTTATTAATTTTGATTTTCATCAACAACTCTATGATAGGAATGGAAATCAAAGTAATTTTAAAGGAAACGATTTACTATCATAATAAATTCATGTATAAAAATTAAACAATTGATCTGTATTTACTTAACTCTCAACCATTTACACTCAATATTGATCTTATATAAATGGCATTCAATTGTCAAGATTCTTTCTATGTACAACGTCTCATTGGCTATACAATGATTAAAAGGTTGTTCTTTTTTTATCTAAACTTACAGCTCATGGAGTTCAAATTCGCCTCGACATTCTTCTCGTCATCGCTCGATCAAATTCTTGCTCCATCGACTGTCTTTCCTGTTGATTTAATTCAGATCACCAATAAAACTGCTCCGTTGAATACCAACGATTTATCTACATTCAGTGCCATATTGTCATATGTATTGAATGTTACATTAGATGAACTCTTTACCAATGAAAGTCAATACACATTCTTTTATCGAATACAAACCAATATCAGTGTCACAATCGACCGGAATATATTCTATGTAAGCAATTTACGGGAACAGATCACTCGACAAGCAGAAGTGATTTTTTACAATCTTCTCTTCACGATTGTTGTCTTGGAAATGTTCACTTTGTTATTTCTCATTGTTCAATTCTTGCTCATTCGCCGGCATTTTCATCGGTCGACAAAAATTCAAGTAAATTCAACTGACGAGTTGACTATGGTGATTGTTAAACACAATGATTCATCGAATGTAGATAAGCAAATTTGAACTTAGCTTTCAAGAAGTTTGAAGATAAATTGCTTATCTTAACTAGCTTTTGTTATTTTGCCTAGTTTCTGTTTTTCATCGTCGGGACCGCAGGTAGCTAGAAGACGCATATAACATTCTTCACAAACATATGCACCGCAAAACCCATAGGAAATAACAGCTTCACCAACACCATAACATTCAGGACAGATCGTCATTCTCAAAAGAAAAAAATATTCAGAAAAAGAGAAGGAGTTAGAATAATATTTCTACATCCTAAAGTTGTAAGTGGATACCTACTTAAAAAGCTTGTCTTAATGTCACCGCCTAAACTACTAACAACCTTTAGACAAACAAGTCTTAGAGATCTGCTATTTAGACTGATGAACCTCTATATTTATAAATGAAAATTGTCCCAAGTTTTCTTCTTCTCAAGGTTGATACAAAAGTGACTTAGAAAAAGCAGTTTCGAAAGAGAAAAAGCGAAATACACTTTCTTGAACATTCTTTCCCGTTCCCTTTTCTATATACAAACATCAACCGCATACAGACCTCATTTCACTCTTGCTGTTCAGTTTTAACTCACCTCTTCTGAAATTTTGCAGATAACAAAACCAGTTGTGCAGAAAGCAGAACGGTGATAATCTTGAGTTTATTATTGATAAAACACACAAAAAACAGTTAGAGTGTATAGGGAATGAATGAAATAATCTACAGAGAGACTGTCTTCTCTTATATAAAAGCTAAAAACGGAGAGACGGTAGCTTTAACTTGTTAACAAATGCTTTCACATTATATCATGAAAAATATTTTTCTTTTTCTCTTCTATATCAAAAATAACTTATCTAACCCGAGTTACTCACATTCTAAAATCTCTTTCTTATCTGCCTGACCAAATGTGACGCACGAACATTTTTAATTAATCATTTCAGTTATTTCGCGATTAACAAACCGTGAAAGACTGAAATTTTACACACATATGGAATTCAGTTAGTTCTTTCTGCCACACAATTTTCAGCTCATTTGGTTCAGATATCGAACTGAGGCACATCAAAATAGAAAAAGCAGTTTCGAAAGAGAAAAAGCGAAATACACTTTCTTGAACATTCTTTCCCGTTCCCTTTTCTATATACAAACATCAACCGCATACAGACCTCATTTCACTCTTGCTGTTCAGTTTTAACTCACCTCTTCTGAAATTTTGCAGATAACAAAACCAGTTGTGCAGAAAGCAGAACGGTGATAATCTTGAGTTTATTATTGATAAAACACACAAAAAACAGTTAGAGTGTATAGGGAATGAATGAAATAATCTACAGAGAGACTGTCTTCTCTTATATAAAAGCTAAAAACGGAGAGACGGTAGCTTTAACTTGTTAACAAATGCTTTCACATTATATCATGAAAAATATTTTTCTTTTTCTCTTCTATATCAAAAATAACTTATCTAACCCGAGTTACTCACATTCTAAAATCTCTTTCTTATCTGCCTGACCAAATGTGACGCACGAACATTTTTAATTAATCATTTCAGTTATTTCGCGATTAACAAACCGTGAAAGACTGAAATTTTACACACATATGGAATTCAGTTAGTTCTTTCTGCCACACAATTTTCAGCTCATTTGGTTCAGATATCGAACTGAGGCACATCAAAATAGGAATCATGACACACGGACGCTTTTTTTGCTCGTTTTATGCGTAAGTTTTCTTTCATGAAAATCGAATGTAGACATGCATTTATCCGTAATTAAATACCAGACACTGACCATATCTATGTATTTCTTTATTTGTCTGATTGTTCCATGAAGAGTTTTTAAAGAGGCACAAAATATCAGATGAAAAAAAAAAATCTTCTTGAGATATACACATATATTAAGTTCTTCATCAATCGCTGTAGCAAATAGAAAATTGTCTTGGAGTAATTCGACAGCGTTGATTATTTTGTACGACATTACCACTCAATTCAAGTAGTCGAACTTTAAATAAAATTTATAATGTTATTGTTGTCTTTTTATTTTAAATAAGATGTTTAATATACATACCAATAAGATGGGTGTGAGTGTGGCAAAGTGCAACATCCATACCTATACATCCACACTCACACCCTAATTCATATTTGGATTTAATCAAAAGAGATGAAGAAGTTCGAAGTTGTTAAAATCGATCATTAAAATTGGAAATATCTTTATACAGTTCATAGTCATCAAGATAATGAAAAATTTTCATTTGATAAATTTTCGATAGAAGTTCTAAAAATGTTAACATAAGTTTCTTGATTGAACATAAAGTTCAAACGAAATGATTAAGTTCTAAAGGAAACATGCGCAGAATTCAAAGTTATGTAAACAAAGCGGAATATATTATGATTAACTAACCAATTGATAATGTTTTATTCTCTTCATAGTTTATTCAACTGTCTGAATGTCTTAGTTCATTTATCAATATTATCAAGTAATAAAATAACTCATCAATGCAAAACATTTTATTGTAATAATTAAATAAATTTTACAAGAAAAATAAATAAATATGTTCTAGTTATTCCCATCGTAAATAGACAGTATCCGGTGTGCGTTTGACTGTAAAATTAGAAAGTAGTTTTTCACAATTGATCATTCGTTCAATATTTTCAACTATTTGTTCATCTGCGGTTCGAACAGGGAAACATAATAAACGAAGATGATTATTATTATTTTGCTTAATTTTCTTGAAAATATTACGTAAGAAAGATTGAACATCCATCGTATTTATACATCTAACGTTAAAATATTCCATATAAGAACAAAGTGTGAAAAGAAAATCAAGTTCTTTAACATCATCAATCTCTTCAAGATAGACTTTGGTAATTTTAATTGTTTCTTTTATTGAACATAAAATAAGAAGTTCTTCAAGCGTTAATTCTGTTGTTTCGTCTGTTGATAATGAATGAATTTTTAACGTAGTTATGTCTGGTAATAGATTAACAACTTGAATCAATGCAGGGATTGAGATTTTATTTTCGAGAATTTCCAAGTGATAAATTTTTGTTATTGTTAATACACGTTCAATTTCTTTGGGCATCACTTCTTCGAACATAGAATTAGGAACACATTCGAACGTCAAATTAGTAAATGTAGAATGTTTAACATAACGATTAAGAATATTATCTTCTATATCATCATACCATCTTTTTCTAAAAAAAAGAAAAAAAAAATTTTATTTTATGAACAGTTAAACGAAAAAGTTTTGGTGTGTAAGAAATTAAAGATACGAGTTCATTCAAAGAACAATAATGATCAATAACAAGATATTCAATAGGACTGAATTGATTATTCATATCCAGTGGAAGTATAATTGAATGACATTTATTAGGGAAGGAAATTCGATAATATTTCAATTTAGGTAAGACAAATACCAATCGATAGATATCATTGATTTCTTCTTGAACATTAGATATTTCGATGGTTAATGAGGCAAGATGTGGTAAAGATGATAAATTGCTTAGAACCGGGATGAGTGTCTCGGGTTGAATTTGTTTAAAAATAATAGATTCAAGACGATCAAATGATGAATCGAATAAAAATGACGAAAAAAAGTAACTATTGTGTATTATAAAATTTACATGTAAAGAAAATATTTGATGCCGATTGGCAAACATAAATTGTTTAAATATATTAATAATTTCATCATGTTTAATCAAATTACAATGAGTTTTAAACAATACAGATGAAGAATGAAGAAGTTGTTCAAATCGAGAATTCAGATTTGAAAACGCTTCATTTAATCCATATCCACCAAGATAATCAAATATTTCACATAATAATTCATTTGATAGATCTTCAAAACAAGTTATAAATTGTTCGAATTCATCTATTACAATAAAATAGAAATATAAATTATTTTATATTCACTAGACGAATAACTTACTGCGAAATTGCTTTGTTTTTTCTTCTGATAATTCATCAGAACTGAGTTTTCGTTTTCGTTTAAATTGATTCATATTTATTTTCCAATCTAGATTGAGTGAGTTTGTTTATGAAATGAATCTTTCACTTCGAAGATGTTTAAATATGCTACTCAGACAAAAGAAGAATAGGTTGTCGAGATCGACGTCCAACTAGAAAAAAACTATAGACAAAAAAGGGAAACAAAGTTATATAACGGTCATTTAACCTTATATACAATCAAATGACTCTGTAAATTTGAGAGAAATTATTTAATCAATCTGTATCCTTTGATCTTCTGTGTATCTATCTTAAAAATCTATGATATTGTTTGAAGGTATAAAATACAAACACGTTTAATTCAATAATCAAAAAATAGTTTTTCATAGTTGATCATTTTTTCACCATTTCTTTTAGAAATACTTCAACATCAATATTATTGATTTGTAAATAATTCATCTCAGGGTAAAAGTTTGATAAGAATATTTACTTCTTTCTTAAATAAATTTTCTTCTTGTAATAATAATAATAAGTGAAGTTTTAATATAAGAAATTTAAGTAATGCTTGTATAAGAT